TTGTAAATGTATGAAATTGATTTCATATATTCAGTGCCTGCTTATGCCCCCAATGCTAATTTATGCTAATAAAGTTGGAAGTAGTAGGTTTATAAATCAAAATATCCATTATTAATTTACGGTAGGGATACAGCTTTCCAGTGATCAGAGTATTTTGAGTTTGGACATCAGGAAATTCTCTTTAACATATTAGCATAATTAAGAAACAGGATAGGCATACACTTGGCTTTGCTGAGTGTGAAATAAGATCAAAGGCAGAGAGCAGGACAGATAGCTCAACAGCATAAGCACCTGCCTGGCAAGTGCAGGGTCTCACATTCAATCCCTAGCACCAAAACAACAACAACAAAAAAGAACAGGGCTGTCAAGATAGCTCAGCAGACTAAGGTCCTTCTTAGGCACACTCAGGAACCAGGGTTTGATCCTTGACCCCACCTGCTGCACCAGCCCCATGCCCTAGCATGCTGAGTGGCCACTGAGTCTGGGTTTGGTGGTACACGCCTGTCATCCCAGTACTAAAAACAGGATTAATATGAGTCTGAGCTGTGTAGTGAGACCCTATACCAAATACTTAAAAATGGAGAAAAAAAAAAAAAAAAGATTGAAGGCAGGAGGATCACCCTGCTAGCTTCTCGGAGTCTGCAACTCACCTGGACGTTACTCTAGTTCCTGCCATACTGATGGCTATTTGTGGATCTTTCCACAAGAGACACAAGATTTGCAGAAGTTTTCAGTATTTTCAATATTTCTGATCCTTTGTATGCCAAAAAAGAAAACTTTGTCATTATTTTTTGGTGATTTTTAAAAAAATACGTTAGTTTATGTCTTAACAGATCACTGAATATTAGGACCAGAAGAGAACCTTAACCATCTAAGGCAGAAAACAAATAACTTTCCTAAGGTCATGGGTTCTTAGTCCATTGCTAAATTGCGCGTTACTGCTTTTTAGTAGAAACTAAAGATTTCTGAGAAGTTTGCATCTCAGATTATGTTCTAGAGATATGCGCTGAATCTACTCATATTTGGCATTCTTTGTTACTAAAAACATGAATATGAAGTCTTTACTTGAATTATTTCCGAAAAATTATGACAGATCTTTAATTTTCATTTCTCCCT